AAATGCAAGTAAAAAAATAGGAACTACCTTTGGTGGGAAGGTAACAGTGTTCCGTGCACCTTTGGTGTTTAGTCATGCCAGCCACATGACTACGGAGATGTCTTCGGACAACACTGGCTCTTCAGCTTTGAAATGGAGATGAGCACTATCCCCTAGAGTTGGGAACGACTAGCACATATGTGCGAGGGGACCCTTTACCTTACCAGTAGAGGAGAATATTTTCAACTCGGGGTTGAAATGTGAGCTCCTTGATGCGCTGAGCTTGGTGTCCCAAAGGTGCTTTTGAAAAGGCAATATGATTTTTTTTTCTTTGGAAATGTTTCAGTTCTCTTCCAGGAAGCTTCTTCAGTTCATGAACTGAATTTCACTGTTTTCACCAGCTCGGTGAAAAACAGGCCATATCAGATGCCTCTCAATTCAACACATCTAATGTGACATTCCAAGTAGGGATTTCATGAAGGCAGCCAGATGGACATCTGGGGTAGCTGGTGGCAAGTCTTTTCTATGTAGGGCTGCAGAGAAGTCAGAGACACATTTCTCATGTCTCTATGGTTGTTCATATGGTCTATGTCAGCTGTCACAAACTAGTGGTCCATGGACCCAACCAGTGGCCCGGTGGTCCACAAGAAAATTTGGGGGGTCCGCGGAAAAATCTTTGCATTTTTTTATATTGCACTAAATCAGGGATTCTCAAACTACAGCCCTGGGCTGGATATGGCCCACCGAAGCAATTAATCCCGCTCACTGATGGGATGGGGTCCTTCAGGCACTTAGTTTGGCTACCTTTTTAGTAGCTCCAGTCCTTCTCCCCTTCACTCCCTGGGAGTACAGGTGCTTCAGTGAGCGGTGTGCGAAACTTCAGCCAAGCTCCTGGAAAGACTGAAAAGCTCCTGGCCATATTTGAGATTCCTAGTTGCATTGGACAGCAAAGCTAGGGTTGACCCCAGGTGCTTCTCTCTACTAACAGGTGGCCAAGCTAAGTGCCTGAAGGACCCTGTCCCATCACTAATTCTACTTGTGGTCCACCGGATTTAAAATTATGAATGTAGTGGTCCCTGAGGTTCAAAAGGCTGGTGACCCCTGGTCTATGTGACTAAAGGGTTGGACTTGGACCAGGAAGACTTAGATTCAACTTCCACCTAATTGTGATGCTCCCTAGATCAGGGGTCTCCAACCTTGGCAACTTTAAGCCTTGTAGACTTCAACACCCAGAATTCTGGGTGTCTACAAGTCTTAAGCACCCAAAGCTGGCTGAGGAATTCTGGGAGTTGAAGTCCACAAGTCTTAAAATTGCCAAGGTTGGAGACCCCTGCCCTAGATGACTTTGGTGTCTTTGGTCCTTCACTCAGTTTCTTTTTAGCCCAACCTGCCTAAAGGAGTCAATTTTGTGGAGATGAAATAAGGAAAGACTCCCCACTTGGTGTAATTTTCCTTCAGGTCTCGCTGAAAAAGCTCTCAATGCAATAAATATTCTTCTTCCAGCCATCTGTGGAGGAGACATGAAGAAAGACAATGGGCACATCCAGTCTCCCAACTACCCTGATGACTATCGTCCCAATAAGTTGTGTACTTGGAAGATTACAGTTTCGGAAGGATTCCATGTTGGCCTCACTTTCCTGTCCTTTGAGGTATCAGAAGGAATTCCCACAGCGTTTTAGTATATGCACTAATGTGCGAGGGGAATCTAATCGTTATAAATATGAGCCAGTTGTCAAGCACTTGAATTTTGATCACATGACTATGGGGATGCTGCAAGGGTTGTAAGTGTGAAAAACAGTCATAAGTCACTTTTTTCAGTACCACAAACAGTCACTAAATGAAGGGGGGTATGTTGAGGACTACCCGCAAGGAGGAGGCAGAGGTGGACAGAAACATAGGATGCTACTCTCGTGGTCCTTTTCAGCCAGGTAGGACAGTGGTACTTTCAGCTGAAGTGGAAGACTCTACCCTCTGAGCTCTAGGCCCATCCAGTTAAAAATGGCTTCTCTAAGCTCCTGTCTGAACTGAGAGCCATGATTCCTGTTCACATTTAAATACGGTGCTCCATTTAGCATCACATCATGGTTGGTCCTCCATCCATTCTTGATTGTCCCTAAACTTTTTAATATGGTTGATTCAACTGTGTTGTGGCCCACCAGCAGCCAGCAGAGTCAGACAGTGAGGAGGTTGGGGAGGAACCTGGGCCAGTCCTGGAGTCTGGGGAAGGCTCAGATGAGGGCTCTGTGTGGGAGGCAGGGAATGGGCCAGAGCCAAATGCCAGTTATCAGCTGCCTTCAGAGTCAGACATCAGTGAGACAGACGAACAGCTGGAGCCTGTTCCCAGTGTGCGCATACGTGGAGTTGCCAGACGAAGGGAACAGTTGAAGAACAGGGGGCGACTTGGGAGTAAGGCCACAGGTGGACGATGAATGGCCCCTCCCATAGGGAATAAAAGATGAGTGAAAAGGGAGTGGAGTTTGCAGGAGACGATTAGTTCGCTTAATTGGTTCCTTACTCTCCGAGACTCCTTTCCATGTTTTTCTGATATCTACCTGGCAACTCTCCAAGCCAGATAAGGTCTGTGACTGTAAATCTTCCCTTGAAAGACTTTGCTGGCTGTGAATGATCAGAATTCACTGTAAATTAATAAAAGAGTTTTTGCCGGGAAAAGGAGTTTGTTTTATGCTCTCAGGTATAGTAGTTTCCAGAAGAGATTGTAACACCTGAATGGGACCTCTGTTTTCTGAATTAGTCAACAGTGTGGAATCTAGGATCTAGAACAGGCAGTGTTAAGACTTGTGGACTTCAACTCCCAGAATTCCTCAGCCACCCGTGCTGACTGGGGAATTTTGGAACTTGAACTCCATAAGTCTTAAGTTGGCCAAGTTGGGAGGTCCTTGATCTAGAATTTTATTTATCTGATCTTTTAGAGATCAGATACCTAAATGTTAGGTTAGTGCCATAAAATATGAAGGAACTCTTGGAACTATTTATCCCTAGTAGAACCTGTTCGTCAACTGCCTTTTCCTTTTCTGCTTTGTCCATCTATTGGCAACAGCACTTAGACTTACA